TGGACGAAGACCGTGAAGAACAGTATTCCTCCGCCCATTTGGGTCACGATCTGGACGTAGAAATTGTCCGAAAGGCTGGTCTCGGCGGTCATCTCATTGTCGCGGATCCGATGGTGACGTTTGCGTCTGAGCCACGATCGGTACCACAACACCGGAACCGTTCCCACGACAAGTGTCAGCGCAAACAACACCACCGCCGATACGAATCGTGTGATTAATAAACTCATCGCTAAATATTAATGACATTAAAAATGTATACATTTATTATTGTATTGTAAAATATAATTATATTTTAAAAAATAAAACTTTAAATTAAATAGATGCACAGTTTGGCGCTAGCGCACTTTGAAAACATTGTGGTCCGTGTGGAAAACTTACCTGCTAGGTTAACGAGCGATAAATATATGCACTATATTTAATATGTTATAAACATGCTTGAATTATTTACACAGTTATTATAATTACAATGTAAATAAACTACTTAATAATAATATTATAAACACATGGTTAAATGCAATAAATATGAGTTGCCTATTTTGTACAGAAAATAAATAAAAAGGGGCGTATAGTTTGCTCTATGTAAATGTCAATTGTTTGGTTGATTGCCTGAGAATCAGTGATAAATATACAGTACATGTACATCTATCTCTGTATACTATCTCTTCATATACACTAGTATTGACCCGATTTTATTGAAAAACTGAATGTCATTAAGTGGTAAGTTAATATAAGATTACTAAACCCCATGATCAATTATAACAGATAAGGGGTGGTTCACAAACTACGGTCGCACTTGGAGAAGGGGTGTCGACCAAAGCCACCTTTTGTAAACGAGTGGATGGGAAGAGTAAAGGCCTTAAGAAGGTCCGCATTTAAATAATTTAAGGGATTAGTTATTATCAAAGTTAATCTTTTATAACAACGGTTTGATAACAAATTTTGAATAAATTTATGACATGAATAGAGTTTTTATTTTCAGTTTTATAAATATAGTTGTATTTTATTTATAAAATAATTAAATTATAAATTAAAATATAATGTTGGGGCCAGATAGAAGTGTGTTAAATAATCATGGCAAATCACACTACCCCTCATACAATAAACAATATAAAAGCGATTAACCCTGATATATATTGATAATGTCAACACATAATTTATCGTTTTTATCGAAACATTTAGTTATAGTTTGTTCGAGAAAATGAGTTCATAAAAATAGTAATCAAATTAAATAAGTGTTTAATTTAATAGAAACTTCAGATCAATACAAAACCAATCAATTAATTTACCATAAGCATAGCGTTGATCGTAGTAACTTAACATTACACTTATTCATACTTATGTAGTTCATATTCAATTGACATTTACATAGAGCAAACTATACGCCCCTTTTTATTTATTTTCTGTACAAAATAGGCAACTCATATTTATTGCATTTAACCATGTGTTTATAATATTATTATTAAGTAGTTTATTTACAT